ATTAACCAGATCAGCCAAAAATTATTTGGCTAATTTTTTACAGGTATCCCAAGAATTATGAAAAAAAAATCTAATCAACTAACTATAAATTTTGAAATCCATGTAATATAAAATGAAAAATAAACTTTGTATAGCCTATTATATCTAATTATAAAATAATATAGTATTCATTAATTTGATTTATTTTTTTTTATTTAGATTCAAACTTAATAATAGAAGCAGAAATCTTTATATTCAATAATGGTTTAGAACAATAATATGAGAATTCAGGTATGTATTATTCTAATTTTTTTATTTTAAAGAGTAAGGTCTGGCCTTGGTCTTTATTGAATAATTTATATGTTATATTTGTAAAATAAATTATATAAGTTACTACAGAGATCTATAGCTAGAACTACTTTATTCTCAGTTAAAACTCTACTAACAGGCCTCATCTAGATTAATAGTAGCAATATAAGATGTAGATATATTAGTAGTAGAAAAGATAGTTGCTTATCTATTGAATCTTGCTATACCATGTTGTAATGTGAGAAGATATTTTGGAGGAGATATAGTAAGTAAATTAGTTATCGCATTTTGCTGATATATTGCAGTGCTGTATTATTCTAATTACTAATTTATTTCTTGCGATATATTTTAATTATACTATTATTCATAGGTTCAAATAATTTAATATCTACCCCACTCTAACAAGATCTAATTTTAGCAAGAAGCCAACATTTAAATCCTGTATTTCAAGATTATCAGCCTAACAACTACTTTTAAATCTATTACTAATCAAGCAGTATCATATTTTATGCCACTTTTCATAACTTCATAAATTATCTGAATTTGATAACAAAAAGGAAATACACTATTATTTATACTATTATTTTAATTGAATTTGCAATATGCAATTTTTTTCTATATAATTTCTGGGCATAATTTTAAAATGAATTTTAATTGAAAATAAAATTTTTATGTATTATATGATTTTAATAATAAACTGCAGCAATAATATAGAATTTTTTTCATCAGTATATATATAGTATCTGCCAGATAATTTATTTTACCAGTAGCTCATTTTACTGAAAAATAATTATAATCATCATCATGATTAGAAGTTCAATTTATAAAAAAAACTTAAAATAAAATTAAACTACTAATGATAATATACTGTCTATGATATAAACTTGATAAAATGAGCAATTATAAACAAACTTGTCTATAAATTAATATAAAATAAGATGTTTATAAAGTGATTTTGATGAAGCTATATCGATAAAATTATACAATTCAAATTTAGAAATATGAAGTCTTGCTACAAGTTTGCTTATTACATATATAATAATGATCTATATTGATTATATTGCCAGTGTTACATGCTAGTTAATTATTTAATATAGGTTTAAATCAAAATCTCAACAAGCAAAAAAATTTTAAAAATTACAAAATCTGATAAAAAATATCATAAACTATAGCTAACTCTAGCCTAACCTTTATCTAAAGAGAACTAACCCTAAAGTTAATTAAGTTATAAGAGGCTATTTCATTTTAAACATACTAGATTGTCTATTTAAAATTCTAACTATCAAGATTTTTAATTGTTAGGATTTTGATGCACTCAGATAATGTGTACCAGATTAGTATATCATTATGGCTGATAATCATCAATACCCTGATTCTAATCATAATACAAATCAAAATAATAATTTGTAATAAATAATCTTTATGATATGTAATTAAATAAAAATAAAATCATAAAAAAAAAGTATTTGTTATAATGATCATTAGATTATAAATATCAACTTGTAAACTACAATAAATTAATACCGATAATTACTGTAGAAAATATGAAAATCGAGCAGATTATTGTTAATTTGCTTGCAAATATTAATACAAAAGAAATACTTTAACATAGCTTAATGAATTTCAAGAATGTTCAAAAACTACAATATGTTTAATACATACTTATCTAGTTAAAGAAGATAATATTGTTTTTAGAGAGTTGCAACATTGCATCTATAGCAATTTAGTCAAACAAAAAAATAATCATTATGAAACAAAAATTCAAATATTTTGCAAAACAGGAATACTGAATGTAAAGCAACTCTAAATCTTCAAATAAAAAAATTTAAAAAAATTGGTTTTGAGAATACTTACCTATTTGAAATAAACTTTCAGTTTATATATAATCATGTAACCAATTCTGCAAGTTCATTGAGTTTTCAAACAGTTGAACTCAATGTTTAAAAATATTATATTGAGTTATTTAATATGAGTTATTCAGCTGCAACTGCATATGAAGATGAATTACATTTATTTGTATCTAATAATAATAAACTAGCTTGATTGCTAGCAGATTGGTCAATAAATCTCAATAAAACTTATGTAAAAAATCTTTATAATTAGTTTCATATTTTACAACTAGTGATTAAAATAGAAAGAGGATGTTTGATTATATGCAAGAAGTTGTTACTCTTTATAACAATTCTAGTAAAAGAAAAAGCTATACTTCAAACTTATAATTCATTTATATTATACATGCTGATGAAATTATTTTAGGTTTTGGGGTATGAAATTAAAATTTGAAAACGAAATTGTTTTTGACCTATTTTACTTAAAAGATGAAATTTTTTGATACTTTTTTTGAAGAAACGAAATTATAAAAAGCATAACTACCTAAATTAGATCTGCTCTTGCATATAAAAAATTCCAAATTGCTCTAATAAAGATGAAATAGGGTTTTTTTGAAAACCTAATTCGGTGGCATGTATAATCTATATCTACTCCATTTATTCTATATATTGTAACTAACTTAATAAAGTAAGTTCATAAAAAATTTGTCAAGCTGGAAAGCTCTGTTATTTTGATGCATCTATTGCTTTTGATTCACTTAACATCTTAATTACTCTTCTTTATACAAGTTGTTTAATTGGCACATTACTATTAAGTATTTTTTTAATTTCAAATAAAACTGAAATTACTATTGAAAATGATATAAATTTGCTTAAAATAGTATTACCAGACAACGTATTTTACAATCATAGAATACAAATTGGATCTATAATTATTATTACAGATGATTTTATGCAGAACATAATGCTATTGCACATTGCTAGCCAACATGTATATAATTATTATGTATTTTTCACATTTTACAATCAGTTTGGTGTTGGTTGTATAATTTAGGATATAAAATTTATAAAGATAATTGTACACAAATTATAATATTATTCAAAAAAGTTTTATATACACCTATGGTTAATGAAATGGAAACTGAATTCTCAAACTTGTGATCTAAATATTTTACATAATATGATCAGCTTACAGCATATTGTTTGCGTCTCTGAGAACATTGAGCTACCTAGACATTGGCATATCGACAAAACTTATCATTATATAGAATCATACCAACAACTATATCAAAAGAAGTTTTAAACTTTTAAAGGACATTGTTTTTGCATGTACAAAACATATAATCCAGTACAAATCTTTCAATTCATTACAACCAACATGGAGCATTTTTATGAACGATGAATACTAGCTATAGCAAATTGTCACCCAGGTCATTTAGAAATATCAAAACGGTTCTGCTGCCCAGGATGGGAAGAAATTAATCAAGAAAATATTCAATATAATAATATAAATAATATATATTTCATTTCTAGTACAACAATTATTAATAAATATTACATCATTAATTCATCTATTGGAACATGCACTTGTTCTATGGCACTTGGTGAATCATCTTGTAAACATCAAGCGGTAGTTGCTATTAAATATCATTCAGGTTCTTTTAATTATATTGCGACTCTTGCTCTTGAAGATTGTATGACTTATAGATATATCGCATGTGGTAAAATTTATTAGAATTTATTTATATTTTTACATACACATATATATTGATATACTATACTAATAAATTTAAAATATTTAAAAGAACAATCGCAGAAGATCCAACATTTTATGCATCCTTGCATGCATCAATTGCATCAGGATTCGGTCATAATAATGAAATAAACCATCAAATATGAATCCGCTTAATGTAGATGAGCTAAATACTGAAGTAATCATTGAAAGCTCCCAAAACAGGTCCGTAAAAAAAATAAATAAATAAATAAAATACGGTCTATAAAATTTGTAAAATTAAACTTATTAATACATTATTGCTATTTTTATTAGGAACCATGAAGATGATATAAATAA